TCCATGCATACCCACATGTATATCCTTCAGATATAAGATCAACAAAGTTGTGATGAGTTTATCTGCTGACCTCAGTGCAGTGAACGTAGCCATGATTACTCTATACAATGTTGGCCTTATCATGTGAGACTGGTATGGATAAAAATAGATATTTAATCAGAGCCCATGAAAAAATGTGCACAAAAACTGCCTTGGAAATACGGAAGAGACAAATATCATCTAACAGAGAGTTTCTGCACTACCAGGATGAATCAAAATCTGTAACATAACCTTTCTTATCCTGCAGCCCTGACCCAATAGTTGTTCCTGCTTTAGCCATATCAAAAGATCTTGTATTTTTGTCTAAAATTTTGCAAATATTGTATGATGGATAATTACGATCTACCATTGGAACTTCTGACCAACTGCGCCATGTGTTATTTTTTTTTTATAATTCGAACATTGATTTTAATTGGCAATGACTGGGTAGGAGTATGTGGTGAAATGCATATGAGGTATGATGAATAAAAAAATAGGCATACTTTCAGGGTGCATTTTGCTTGTTCAAAATTTCTGAATATTTCTATGACATGTTTGATGTTTCATGACATAACAATAGTCAATTGAAAATAGAAAATGGAGGTAGCTTGAATTTTCCTGTTTGGATTTTCTTGCTCCTTTGCCTTCTGCTCCATTACAAATTGTTGAAATTGAGTACCCTGTAATTCCTAGAACCCAGAATCATCATGCCCTGTTCAGCTGAATCATACAATGCTAACTTTGGCTTGCAGATAATCAGACTATCAGGTGCCACTCAAGATTTACCCAAATCTGTTGTATGCAATATCCATGGTGTGAATCCAAAATTTCTTGAGGTTGGCAGGCTAAAATTGAAGCAGCTGCAGAATGGAGAGGCAGCCTTCACAAAAGGGGCATACTACATTGGGAAGATGGTGTGGAGTAAGGGTTATAGGGAGCTTCTTGACCTTCTGTCCAAATATCAGAGCAGGTTAGGTGATCTTGAAGTAGATTTATATGGTAGTGGAGAAGATTCAGATGAAATCCGAGAATCTGCAGAGCGCTTAAGTTTGGCTGTAAACGTTCACCCTGGCCGTGATCATGCAGATCCATTATTCCATGAGTAAGTTCTCGTATTTACCAACTGCTCCCTCCGTTCACAAATATAAGCTGTTTTGGATATTTCAATATGGACTACATACGAACTGAAATGAGTGAACAAACACACTAAAACGTGTCTATAAACATCCGATTCAAAAAAAAGTTAGAACATCTTATATTTGTGACGGAGGGAGTATTTCGTTGCATCTTTCTTATTTTCTATTTATTTATTTTTCTTTTTATTTGAAATATCATTTTATTTATTTCAAATAAAAAGAATGGATGTGTGGCCACACGAGGAAGGATCGAGTCCGGAATGATGATATACGAGATAGAGTTGGGGTAGCACCAATTGAGGAGAAGCTTGTCCAACATCGTTTGAGATGGTTTGGGCATATTCAGCGCAGGCCTCCAGAAGCTCCAGTGCATAGCGGACGGCTAAAGCGTGCAGAGAATGTCAAGAGAGGGCGGGGTCGACCGAATTTGACATGGGAGGAGTCCGTTAAGAGAGACCTGAAAGATTGGAGTATCGACAAAGAGCTAGCTATGGACAGGGGTGCGTGGAAGCTTGCTATCCATGTGCCAGAGCCATGAGTTGGTTGCGAGATCTTATGGGTTTCACCTCTAGCCTACCCCAACTTGTTTGGGACTAAAGGCTTTGTTGTTGTTGTTGTCGTTATTTGAAATATCATTTTGAAATCTATATATAGCTATATGTCACTGAAGACAATAAGGGTTGTTTCTGTTTCACCCTTTTATCAAAAGAAGATGAAATACAAGCTTACTGATTTAATCACAACTTGAGCACAAGTTACTGAATCAGGCTGGGGGACGGATCTAGAATGCTACTCCCTCCATGGCTCCGTCCCATAATATAAGATGTTATTACAAACAATACCAATATAATACATATGGTATTGTTTGTAATAACATCTTATATTATGGGACGGAGGGAGTAGATCATAGAAATGACATAATATATTTTGGTATTTATTTTATATTCAGGATAGAGCTATGGTTTGTGTTATTAAAACTTAACAGTGAATCACTTTACTTTCCAACAGCTATAAAGTATTCATCAACCCCAGCACAACAGATGTGGTCTGCACGACCTCAGCTGAGGCCCTTGCAATGGGAAAAATTGTTATATGTGCCAATCACCCTTCCAATGAGTTCTTCAAGCAGTTCCCCAACTGCCGTATCTACAACAACGATGAAGAGTTTGTACAACTCACACTGAATGCTCTAGCAGAGCAGCCTACTCCATTAACAGATATGCAGATGTATGACTTGTCATGGGAGGCAGCAACCGACAGATTCATGGAGGCTGCTGAGATGAACCTTCCTACAGCAGAGCCAAGAATCCAGCAAGCGTCCAAGACATACTTCCCTACTTTTCTAAGGACTCGTAAACTGAAGCAAAGTTTGGAGGATGCATCAGTATACCTGCACCAAGCACTCTCAGGGCTGGAGGTCACCCGTTGCGCCTTTGGTGCTGTTCCAAAGACGCTGCAACCAGATGAGCAGCTTCGCAAAGATCTTGGCTTGGCTTCTCCCCCAAAGAGAAAAAAGCAGAAACAAAAGCTGATGACGTGATACTGCAAGTTCGTCCACGAGCTCCTAGTTGAATTGCATATTTGCCATGCGTGTACATTATTCAAAATTATGGATGAGTTAGTGGTTTTGTTTCAGTAATATTAACTCCGACGGCTGTGTGCAAGGTAGGGTACATTGTAATGTTGATTGGGTAGGGGGAAATAGTCTGCTGAGAGTGCTGTAATTCTGGCATCGGTGTGCGCTTTTCTTCGGTTCTGTGTGAGGTTTGTTGTTTGGCACATTTTTGTCATCCTGCATGTACATTATTCGACGACCTGGAAGAATTGGTGGTGCTTTTTCCAATTTTATTTTTACTCGGATCACTGTGTGTCAAGTACAATGGTGGATTGTTAGTAGATCGAGTGCTTGTCTTGGAGTGGGAAATATAGTCTGTTGAATATAACTCTGGCATCGGCCTGAGCTTCTTCAGGTCTTTGTGATGTCTTTTTATACCCAACCTGCCCCGTATGTGTTAGCATGCTGGAATTTCTGCATAAAGTGATGGACCAGCACGGAGATGATGAGATTGCCACCGTATAACAAGAGTTATACTCCGTATTTCATAGAGGTTTACAGTAGATGTTTTGTGAATGTGTATGTGGTATTATTTGAAAATGTCGAACAGTTACTGTTCTTTTCACAATTCTCCAGTCACATGAAGCATTACAAAATGAGATTGCAAGCAGCTACTTACAGAAAGCATTACAAAATGTTGTCTTCAAAGACCACCAAAGATCCACACATGAGGCCTCGCATAGCAAAATACTACGTGACTACTCATGTCGACGAACTCTCGAACCAAACTGAAGAAGACGATCTGACGACCTGACGATGTATAAACCGCAAAAATCGCGGGACCGTAAATAATCTGCTAAGGTCTTTCACTGGTGTGTCCACATCGAAGTCGTTTGAACTGAATTACTTTGTTGCCCATTTCATTCACTCTGCCCTTTGTTTTATCGGCTTTCTTATTGATTTTATACTCCATATACAAACACTTTACCGCGACGTAGCGATTGCATGGAATAAAATCCTAGCGTATTTGAGCCCACTAAGGCCTTGTTCGGTTAAGCCACTCCTCAAGTGGATTGGAGTGGAATGGAGGGGATTTGGGGAAAATTTGAACTAGATGGGATTTAATCCCTGCCAATCCCTCTCATTTTTCATGGAACTGAACAAGGCCTAAAGAGATCTCGGCGCTCGAAGAGAAGCACCCAGGTCTTGCTGAAGCCACCGGTGCTGCTGTGGCCGACGGCCGTCGTCGCAGTCTTGCCGATGCGGCCACCGTCGCCGCTGCTGCCGACGACCTTGGCGAACTCGGTGGCGCAGCTCCTCCCCAAGCTTAAGCCGAGACGAGCCCTCAACGCAGGGAGCGCCATGGATCGATCGATGGAGGGTGTCGTTGGTTTCGTCTTGGGAGTTGGGAGACGTGCGCCTGGGTGAAATCGAAGAGCTAGCTCTAGCTACCTGCCACAGACCGCAATGCACAATGCGTTTGGTGGCTAGCTTATTCCACCCCAGTCTGGCATCGTAAAAACTCTTTTATCTCTTACAGTCAAACTCAAAACTGACAGCCAGTTGTCCAGCATGTAGATAGGCACCTGTTCGACGCAACATGATCCATGCTCTAGCCCCTGCCGTGCGTGGAGACAGAAAACGCTCGCCTTTTAAGCGGCTGGACAGATGATAGAGATAGATAGAGATAGCTAGAGATAGACAGGTCGACACGCACGGCGAGCTGGCCGCACGCAGTTCGCCGGAGATCGGGCCAAAAAGCCCCTCCCTCTGCTCGATGAGGACAACTGGACAAGCGAGGAGTTGAAACTGAAGCTCCGGGGCCGCGCAGGCGCAGCCGCAGCCGCTCTTGCCCGTGGCCCCACGTTCGCCCCGCAGGCGCCCGGCTGTACCGCGAGCGTTACCGCTCCGGCCGGGCTCGGCTCCGCCGCGGGCGACGCCACGCGCCCCCCTGGCACGACAAGTGTCCTACCGGGCGGCGTCCCGTGCCCGCGCTTCCGAAAATACCCTTCACTCCCACGCTTCCAAAACCGCGAGGGGGCCCCCGGAGAGGAGCAAACTGTTTCTGTTGCGAGAGCGAGCGTCTCCTTCGTCGACGTGCGAGGCAGCGGCGAGCAGAGCGTCTCCTCGATCCCTCCTCGGCCGCGCACTCCTTGTAAGTCGCGCCCCTCTCCTCGATCCTCCTCCTCCTACGTGAATACGTGATCGTTTCTCTCACCAACACCAATTGACGAACGAGTCCGTGCGGGCGCTTCCTCTGAACTGACCAGTTCGTGGCTTCGGCGCCGGCGATGGACGCCTACTCGAAGGACATGCCGCGCGGCGTCAGCGGCGGAGACGACGGCGAGAAGAAGGTGCGGCGCTCGGAGTCGCGTACTGAGGAGGTGGACCTTACCCTCGGGCTGTCGCTCGGGGGTCGGTTCGGGGCGAAGAGGAGGAGAGTCGAGGGGCTCGCCGGGTCCTCATCGGTGGCGGTGGCGCCGCCCGCGCCTGTCGGGACAAACTCATCGCAGGGGACTGGTTTCCCTCCGAATGGCGTCGCCGTGGAGCCCTCAGCTTTGCTGCGTGCGACTGCGACCTTGAACCCTTTCCTTGGGAGAGCCGGCGCCGCTGGGTTCCAGCCGTCGGCGACCCCTTTGATCAGCAGCATCAAGCAGGAGCCCGTGGAAGGTGCGTCTTTCTTCGTGTTTCCATAATGCTATATTTGTCCTTTGCTACACAAATGTGGTAGAGTAGTACGTATTTGTTTATGCTCATTTAGTGGTATTTCTTGCTCAATTAATCTCGTGCGCTGGTGCATACATCTCACATATTGTGCTAGTTAATTAGGTTAGGGGTAACGGCAGATGAATGCTTTTATTTATCCAGTATAATAGACATGAATTGTTTAATCGTTCTTTTTTAGATATTGTTGTAATACTGGTTTGAAATCCGTGGGAGTGCCTCAACTTGTTTGTCGCAGTCTCACGGTCTCTTCGTCTGTATCCGGACGTATGCTCTGTTTGCGTGGCATGTCAGCGTGGCAGTGGCTGAGAGTGTGTGAGGCGGCCTGCATGGCATGACAGCGTGGCGATGGCCCACATGTCAGTGGCTGGAAGTGAGTGAGGCGCTGACTGACCCATGTGTGATTTTTTTTCTGCACACAACCACTAAATTTTAATTAAATACCATCGCATGGTGGGGACTACTACTAGTGAACAGTATAAATGAAATTGGACTAGCAGATTTTTTTTTCTTTAGATAATCCCCTGAATTTTAATTAAAAACAGCCACCTTGTAGGCCCCACCCGTTAGTGAGAAGTACAAATGAAATTGGACTGGAAAAATTGCAGTGGTGGGGTTTTGAACAAACGATCTGCTGGTCTAACTAGCAGACGTCGCTAACCACGGGAGCTCCTATACAGCGCTGCTAGCATGGGTCGGCCCACTAGCCTGCTGCCCCCAGTTTTTTTAAATGGTTTTTTTATGAAAATAAAAATATAAAATCAAGAAAGATTTACAGATTTAAAGAAAAATAGCTCATCCATTTGAAAAAATACGTTCATATCTTTAAAACGGTTCATCAATTTTGAAAAAAGTTCATCAATTTTAAAAAAAGTTCATTCAAATTGAAAAAAAGTTCATCAAATTTGAAAAAAGTTCATAGAAATTGAAAAAAGTTCATGTATTTTTAGGAAATTTCATGGAACTGACAAAAAAGTTTACTAATAAAAAAAGTTCATCCATTTTCAAAAAAATGTTCATTAAATTTCGAAAAAATTCATCAATATTAAAAAAAGTTCATCAATCTCAAAAAAATTCATCAAATTGAAAGAAATTTCATTCAATTCGAAAAAAGTTCATAGAAATTGAAGAAAAAGTTCATGGAACTGAAAAAAAGTTCATCCATTTTCAAGAAAAATGTTCACTAAATTTCGAAAAAATTCATCAATATTCAAAAAAGTTTATCAATCTCAAAAAAGTTCACATAATTGTTTTTAAAAAAATCATCAACCAGCGCCTAGATGGGCCGGCCCACTTATGGACACTGCAGGCGCCAGTTAACAAAATGCACATTAACTGGCGCCTGTGGCGCCAAATAGGAAATGGTGCTAACCACACCACGTGACAGCTTTTGTTCTAAAATGGACTACCAGATTTTATTTTATATATTCTAGAAGGAAAAAGTCCATTTTAAACCTTGAACTCGTAGAGGTCGGGCAGAATGAACCCTCAAGTCGAAATCCCAGTCGATTGCACCCTGAACTCTGCAATCCCGGTCTAAATCAAATCCTGGCAAAAGTCGACCGGGATTTGTCTAGCTGGTGAGCCAAGGAGCGGCATGTTGACCACGGCATATGCACCCGTCCTCCGCGCTGGGCCAGCCCATTTGTTTTTTTATTTGCTAAAAAAATGTGTCTTTATTTTTTTCTCGCACGCATAGGCAGAAAACGCTAAAAATAATACGCACTTGACAAGTTTTGAACCCAGGATGCACAACAACAAATGGTAAGTTTCGAACCCAGGATCTACAACACAAAGCAATAAGAATCAACACCAGATTTGAATATTTTTAAAATTTCTATCGCTATTTTTTTAGTGTTTATGAAAAGCGATCACCTTTCAAATTTGTGAACAAACTACGAAACTAAATTTTGAAAATTCAAGAAAACTTTTGGAACATGCACATTTTGTAAAACTCCTGAAGAAAAATTGAAAACATGAAATTTTAAAATTCACAAACAATTTTGAAACAGAAACATTTTTCAAACTCCTGATTTTTATTGAAAACACGGACATTTTTAGAATTTTATGAAATATAGGAATTTTTTTTGAACTCCGGAATAAAACTAGAACACACAAACATTTTAATTTGTGAGGAACTTTTGTAATGGAACCAATTTTTAAAATCGCAAACACTTCTTTAAAAAGTTGTCGAAAATATGGAACAAAAACATTCTGAACAATTTATAATCTGTTTCATGAACAACTTTATATTCTTTTCAAAATCTGGTTCATGTGGTTCTTATTTGTACGCTTATTTTTTGAAAATATGCAACTTCATGAATTCAAGAAAAAAATGAAAAAGGTGCGTGGAAGATGGAAATTGTTCATTTTTGAATATGTGATAACTTTATTGAATATTATGAGTACATGAACATTTTTGTAATATATGTAGAACAATTTCCGAATAAATATTCAACAATTGTGCGATATACACTGAACAAATTTCTAATACAAGATGGAAATTTTATAAATGAGTGAAATTTTTGGAAATTACTGTGAAGATTTCCTTAATATACGCAATGAACTTTCTATATATACATGAAAAAGAATAAAAAAGAAAGATAGAAAAGAAATAGTAAAGAAAAAGATCAACGACCTCTTTTTCAATTTTACAGTTTCTTTTTCAAAATTTATGAATTTTTTTCATATCCATGGACTTTTCTTTTCAAAATCCTTGAACTTATTTTCAAAATTGTTCAACTAATTTGTGATTTTTTTTTGTTTTCGACCCAGACTGGGGGTTTATTTTTTTCTTAACGAAAAAAATTATGCAGGCCGGCCCAGCAAGGATCAGGGTGTAGCGCCCTTTGCGAATTTTTGTTTCTTAACGGAAAAAAACTAAAGCGGGCCGGCCCAACAGGGAGCAGGTGTAGCGTCCTTTGCGAATTTTCGTTTCTTAACGGAAAAAAACTAAAGCGGGCCAGCCTAACAGGGAGCTGGTGTGCGCCCCCTGCGAAATGTCCCATTCCCGGTCATCCAAACGACCCGAAGGTTTGATTTAGACCGGGATTACATAGTTTAGGGTGCAATCGACCAGAATTTTAACTTGAGGGTTCATTTCGCTGAACCCATACGAATTCAGGGTTTTAAATGAACTTTTTCCATTCTAGAACAACAAGAAACATTAAAGATGGAAATGGAACAAGATATTAAAGGAACCGGATGTTCAAAGCAGGGACCTCTCGGTGCTACCAACGCGTTCGTGTGCTAACCAACGGGCAAGAAGCCACTTAATGCTTAATGAGAGAATTTACAGTTTAAGATTTAGGAAATATGCTGGCCCATTTGAAACCAAATGTTCAACATTTTTTAGGGAGTAATTTACAGTTTAAGTAAAATTAATCTAAAATTCCTACAAACACCTTTAACATGTCTTAATACATTTATGGAGTTTACTATTATTACACAATTATTTTTAATACACGGTGAATAGTTTTCAAAATATAACACTGTTATTTTTTTGTAATTATGTATTTTAAAAATAAAATGAAGATACACAACAATTATCCGTTCTTGTGGTCCCGAATGAAGACACACGAATTTACACAATAATTTTTAATATACGTTGAACTGTTTTACATCCACATAAATTTTAGAAAAAAATGTTTATACCTCTTCAAAGTACACAAGCAGGGAATACGAGACTAGCTGAGACACTCCCAGTGAACTCACGTGTGAGCGTAGGTGCAACACACTTTAGGTAAATAGAGTTAGGGCTTGCCATTTGCCAATTGAGTAAATTGTCAAAAACGCTCAGTGCGAAAACCCATAATTTTCATAAAAAAATGCAAAAAACACCGATTTTCAGTAATCGTGTTGCCTAAAGCACTAACCGGTCAATTAATAGCCACTTTATGCGAAATATGACAGATGGGGCCCACTATCAGGAGTGACGTGGCACCAAAAATTAACGCCGTCGGCTGAAACGTTAAGTTAACAAAAGGGCTCACTCGTCAGCACAATTGTTCATTTTATCGAATACGCTGTGTGCAGCGACCGGCCGCTGCTTGCGCTACGCGCACCGCACGGCTCCGCGTCGCCGTCCGTCGACGGACTCCGGCGAGCCGAGCATTACCAGCCCCGCCTCTAGCGCCGTTCTTGTCCTTCCTTCCCCACCCTGAGCTCCACCTGCCTCGTGCCCGACGCACGCCATGGCCTCCGCCACGACGACCTCCCTGCCAATGGCCGCTGCGGGCCGCAGAAGCCGGCGGAACTGGTGGTGGTGATCTGGATAGGTTGAGCAGGGGCGTAGGGCTAGGAGGCTTCCGCGGCCGTGTTGCCGGAGTCGACGTGTTGCGGCGCGCCATGGACGGCGGGGCGCTGGGGGAAGCGGCGTGAGTGGCCATCGCCAGGATCTTGTCCAGCGTGTGTGTGGCGTCGTGTCGGAGCCAATGGAGGAGTCGAGGAAGTCGATGGTGCAGTGCCGTCGACAAATTTTGGAGACGATGACGTCCGGCCGGAGAGGAGGAAGAAGACCTGCGAGTGGCGGTCGGGACGCGTCCGTCAAATCAAGGTGCAGGAGGACGTAGAGAGGAGGGCGATGTTCCTGGACATGGGTGCGAGGTCGACAGAGGCTGTTAGTCGCGCGGTCTATGGTGGTTGTGCTCAGGCGGAGCTCTCTTTCTCTCCGGACAGAAAAAAAGGAAGGGGAAACCGCATGCTCTCCAACTCTGGCGAGACACGACTGTCGCCTTGCTCTGCTCACGGCCTAGCTCGCCGGCCGGCGGAGCTCCGGCGGGTGCGGCTGCCAGTCGTCCCGTGCGTGGTGGCGGATAGAGGCGGTGGCTCGTGGGGAGATAAAAGAAAGGAAAAATAAAATCTTTTATATTTTCTCACAAATGGACCTCATATGGCAGCAACGTTGACTGACTCGGTCCAATGACCAGTCGAACCAGGTCACTGCG